CAGGTCTCATGAGGTCTAGTGGAAAGGTTGGATGAAAAAACAAAAAAAAAGAAATATTTAATATCAAGTCAGATGGTGATGCCTGCAACACAAATATATACAAAATAATGCAGCAGCAAGTGACCCCAAAGGATGTGTTACTTCAGATACAAATGGTGGGTGGATGCTTTTCAAAGATGGGGGAAGAAAGCACGATGCATGGGCACTGGGGAAGCAGAGTATGCCCAGAGAACACAGTTGGTGCAAAAGCCCAAAGCTGGAGAAAGCTTCCTGGATGCTAAAACAGCCAGAATTGGGATTCTTGACAAATAATAAAAATATTGACCACCTCCAACTGCAGGCTGTCCGAACCCTAAGACCTGTTATTGTGGTTATAACTTCATACTATAAACATTAAATGTGATTATGTAAAAGTAGAAATAACTGAAATGTTACGTGAAAGTTTGATATATAAAATATAAAAACTATATAATCATACAATAGATACTATATATTATATAAAATGGGAACATTTTATTGTAGTAAGGTATAATAATAAATATTAGAATATGCTATAACATACTGTAAACAATATATACTGTATAATGATATGCACACATAAAATTAAAATACATAAATCTATATTTTTATAATCTAATATCTAATAATTTTTCAAATGTCATTTAAATTATCACATAGTAAAATAAAACAGTACTTCTGAGATTCATCCATGTTGCAGCCAGTGTCAGTAAATGACTTCTTTTCACGTTGGGGTAGTATTCAATTGTATAGATGTTTGATTAATCACCCACTGTTACATTTGGGTTGTTTACTAATTTTGGCAATTATACAGTTGCTGTGAAATTTGAGTACACACGTTTTTATATAAACAATTTTCCATTTATCTAGGGCAAATACCTAGGAGCGGGACTGGTGGGTCATATGATAAGTGTATGTTTAACAGCATAAGAAGCTGCCAAGGCCAGGCATGGTGGCTCACGCCTGTAATCCCAGCATGTTGGGAGGCTGAGGCAGGCAGATCACCTGAGACCGGGAGTTCCAGACCAGCCTGACCAACGTGGAGAAACCCCTAACTAAACCTCTATTTAAAAAATACAAAATTAGCCGGGCGTGGTGGCACATGCCTGTAATCCCAGCTACTTGGGCGGCTGATGCAGGAGAATCATTTGAACCCGGGAGGTGGAGGTTGTGGGGAGCCAAGACCACACCATTGCACTTCAGCCTGTGCAACAAGAGCAAAACTTCATCTCAAAAAAAAAAAAAAAGCTGCCAAACTTTTTGCCCAAAGCGAATGTAACATTTTACATTTCTACCAACAATGCAGGAAATTTTCCATTGCTCTGCATTGTTACCAACTCAGTATTATGTCTTTATTGTTAGGCATGCTAAAAGGTGTGTACAGGTATCTCATGTGGTTTTCATTTTCATTTTCTTGATAATTAAAGATGTCAATCATCTTTTCATCACCTTGTTTCCCATTTCTATCTCATATAACAATATGGATGGATCTCAAATACATCACATTAAATGAAACAAGTCAAACTCAAAAGGAGAGATACATACACATATATACACAGAGACACACACAGGATGTCTCCATTTATACAACATGTGGAAAAGGCAAAATTATACAGACAGAAAATGGGCTTGTGATCAAGGGCTGGGGGTGGGGAAAGGGATGGACTAAAAAGTAATAGGAGGAAATGTAGGGAAGTGAGGGAACTCTTCTCTGTCTTGATTGTGGTATTGACTGCATGATGTAATTGTCAAAACTTTGAAAATTCTACACTGGGTGAATATTACTGTATGTAAATTATACCTCAATAAATATGACCTTAAAATATTACAGTCATGTTCACACAAAAACCTGCACACAGGTGTTTATAGCATCTTTATTCATAATCAACAAAACTTGGAAGCAACTAAAATGTCCTTCAGTAGGTGAATGGACAAATAAATCACAGTACATCCAGACAATAGCATATTATTCAATGCAAAAAAAAAAAAAAAAAAAGGCTAGCAAGCCACGAAAAGACATGGAAGAGACTTAAATCCACATTACTATGTGAAACAAGTCCATCTGAAAAGGCTGCATACTGTATGGTTCAGAGGCTAAATTATGGAGACAAAAGAAAATAGGCAGGGGTGTAGGGGTGTAGGCAAAACACAGGATTATTGGGACAGTAAAACTGCTCTTTATCCTTCTATCATAATGCATACATGTCATTATTCATCTGTCTCAACCCACAGAATGCACATCAAGACTGAACCCTAATTAAACCATGGACTTTGGCCGGTAGCGTCAATGTAGTTTCATTAATTGTAACAAAAGTACCACTCTGAAGGCAGATGCTGATGATGGGGGAGGCTGTGTACACGTGAGGGTAGGGGATATGTGGGAAATCTCTGTACCTTCTGCCCCGTTTTGCTGTGAACCTAAAACTTCTCTAAAAACTAGTCTTTTATATAAATGGGTATACAAACACATATATATGTCAGTACTAAACTATTACATTATAATAAATATAAAGGACAAATAATTGAAAGTCATGTACAGGGAAATGTGTTTTCCTCCATATTTCCTGGAATTCATGAGGAGTGATACACTTAGGAGTAAGGTAAAATGGGAATAATGAAGGGGACCAGACTTGGTTCTAGGGTATGTTAAAAAGGAAGAGATGATCTCCAGGGACCCTCCTGAGGGTCAGCAGACATTGTCCTAAGTTGGGGATCATGGTGTATCACAAGATATCCAGAATTGCAGGAAGAATAGTGAAGCTTCAGACACAGTGCTGGATGAGGTGAAGGGAGGTAATGGGTCAGCAGACATTGGTCTAAGATGTTGAGCAGCATGTAATGGGCCATCAGATACTGTGAAGAAGTGAGGAAGCAGAGCTAATGATGGCTCAGTAGACATTGATCTAAGGTGAGGTAATGGGATGTGTCACCAAGCACTGCCCAACTAGGGCTTGGGAATTAAAGGGGCATTATGGCCCTGCCCTTTTGACTATGTTCTATCCTTTGGGCCCCATCTTCACCTCCCCATACTGCCCTTCCTAAAGGTGAAACCATCTCTGCAGAGCCCAAATATTTCCCACTCCCAGAATTGCCAATAGACTGACCCCAGACAAACCATTCTGCAAGTTCCAGAGGGGCCACCCAGCAACTGTACATCCAATCAGATCATCTGCCAGCATCTGTAAGGTCACTGCCGCCTATCTAGGGCAAGATACCTAATATCCAATGAAGATCCACCCATGTCTGTTCTAGTTTCCTGCTATTGGCTTCAGGCACTCCTCTCAGTGCAGGATGAGCAGGTGTGCGGGTTGGGTTCTGCAGTAAGTGGGGCTCTGTCGAGTTGCAACTGAGACGGGACAGAGCTGTGCATGCTGAGGAAGAATGAGCAGGGAGTCTTTTGCAATCACGTTGGAGCTGTGGGATTCTGGAATCATGGCAGGGAATCCTAGAAGCAAGCATGCACATGGGATCTCCTGTACCTGTTTTCCCTTCTTTAGCATCAGACCAAAAGTTTTACAGTGACTTTTTAGCTTTAGGGTTGAGAAGGGATATAGCCTAGTTACAGACTGGAGGTGAAAAAGCCTGGTGTGTTTTAGGCAAGTTGATTCTCCCTGTTAGTGCTTCTTATGCTGCAACACAGAAAAAATCAGACAGAAGTCACGCAAGAAGCACAGGTCAACTCTCCACAGGGGCATTTATGGAATGCCTGCTGTATGGCAGTCATGGGTCTAGACTCATAGTGGTGAACAAAAGGGAAATATTTTCTAGCGTAGAAGCCACAGAGAAATGAGCAAAATATACCAGGCAGTATGGTGGAAAGTGCTAGGGAGAAGAATAAAGGAGGAAGGGTAAGGGGCTGGAAATTTAAATCAGGCAGGCAGGCAAGGCCTATGAGGAGGTGTCATGGAAAAAAAGACATGAGGGACAAGCCACAGATAAAATAAAGAATTGTGCTCTTTGCAACGGGCACTGCAAATACAAAGGCCCTCAGTCAGGAACTGATGTTTGAGGCACATGGCAGGGAAGGTCCTTGTGGGGTGCATGGGACGAACATGGACACAAGTAGACAGTGAACATATGGTGGGGTTAGTTTTCATGAGTTATCGATTTCATACGATTTATGATTTATCTCATATCTCATATAATGTAAGATTGATTTCATGAGTTATCAACTTATGAAAGTCACATCATTATGGAAAGTAAAATGCTGGGCTTCAACTCAGCGACAAATAAATTAAAAAAAAAAAAAAGAGGCAGGCAACTCAGTGGGAAGAATTGTAATACCAGAAGGAAGAATTTAAGTTGTCCCAGATGACCTGAAAATTCTAACCTCAGAGGCTTTCTTGAGGGTGGCGGGAGTGTACAAAACACTGTGCTGGGCCGGGCGCGGTGGCTCACGTCTGTAATCCCAGCACTTTGGGAGGCCGAAGCAGGTGGATCATGAGGTCAGGAGTTCGAGATCAGCCCAGCCAGCATGGTGAAACCCCCGTCTCTACTAAAAATACAAAAGTTAGCTGGGCGTGGTGGCACATGCAATCCCAGCTACTCCGGAGGCTGAAGCAGGAGAACTGCTTGAGCCCGGGAGACAGAGGTTGCAGTGAGCCAAGATAGTGCCACTGCACTCCAGCTTGCCGACAGGGTGAGACTCTGTCTCAAAAAAAAAAAAAGAAAAAGAAAGAAAGAGAAAAAACACTGTGCTGGGTATCAAACACAATGTGCTGAGGACCTGTGGGGCTCAGAGACAGTCCTGGCAGATAATGAAGGGGTCTGCAAGTCTTTTTCTATGACAATGGGGACTCAACATACACTCTGAGGTCTGTGTCTGAATACATAGGGAGTTTGTCTTATTGCAGTATCTCTTGCTTGACAGAAATACTCAGTGGGGAACTGTATATGCACAACTGTGTTGGATTCAAAAGAATGAGAAAATGCCCACAATTCTGCTAGACAGTGTGTTCTGGAACAAACAACTTACAGAAGGATTCATCACTATCATATATATTGTCTTACCATTCAAACTCTTGGCACTATACCTAATCCACAGTAAAGAGGATTATCATTCCCATAATATGATCTTTCTTATGAAGAATTTGGTAACAGTGTTCTATTGTCGTTTTCATGAGAAGGCTTTTCCTATTCACCAAAGTGACTCGGTTCCTTGTCAGTATGAATAATGCCCCAAGGTTTACTGGGGATAGTGACAATGTAGGAAGGGTCCCTCGCCTCATTCAGTGCCTTCTCAGGGGCCCTCTCCAGAACAGCCATGTGTGACATTCTGATGTGGCTGTTTCTATTTACAATAATATACATATTTTTCTGCTGCATGCATGCAACAGTGTACAATCAGACCCAACCCTCAGTGGGGTTTTCTCACACTGTTTCTCTCAAGTGTGGCTGCTCTGATGGACACTGAACACTGATTTCTGAACGAAGCCTTTCCCACAGATGCCACACTTGTAGGGTTTGTCTCCAGTGTGTGTTGTCTGATGTTTATTCAAATTTGACCTGTTGCTGAAGGCCTTCCCACACTCAGCACATATGTAAGGCTTCTCTCCGGTGTGAATTCGTTGATGCACTTGGAGCTGTGATTTTTTAGTGAAAGACTTCCCACAGTCACTGCACTCGTACGGTTTCTCTCCAGTGTGAATTCTATGATGTGTAATCAACTCTGACTTCTGTCGAAAGGTCTTCCCACATTCAGAACAGATATAGGGCTTTTCTCCCGTATGAGTTTTCTGGTGCTTACTGAGATTTGACCTGCCACTAAAGGCCTTCCCACACTCGGCACACACATAGGGTTTCTCTCCTGTGTGAACTGGCTGATGCACCAGGAGCTGAGACTTGGAGGTAAAGGACTTCCCACAGTCACTGCATTCATAAGGTTTCTCTCCAGTATGAATTCTTTGATGAGTAATAAAGTTTGACTTGCGGATGAAAGCTCTTCCACACTCGGTGCATACATAGGGTTTCTCTCCTGTATGAATTTTCTGATGAACAATGAGTATTGATTTCTGGTTGAAAGCCTTCCCACATTCATGGCATTCATACTGTCTCTCTCCAGTATGAATTTTCTGGTGTATATTAAGATTTGACTTCTGAGTGAAGGCTTTTCCACAAGTACTGCATTCATAAGGCTTCTCCCCAGTATGGATTCTCTGATGTGTAATCAAGTCTGACCGCTGGGTGAAGGCCTTTCCACATTTGGAACATATATAAGATTTCTCTCCTGTATGAGTTTTCTGATGTGTAATGAGATTTGACCGGTTGGTGAATGCCTTCCCACATTTATTGCATACATAGGGTTTTTCTCCTGTGTGAATTCGTTTATGAACATGGAGTTGTGACTTGGAAGTAAACAATTTCCCACAGTGACCACATTTATAAGGTTTCTCTCCAGTATGAATTATTTGATGTGTAACCAAGTGTGACTTCCGGATGAAGGCCAGTCCACATTTCATGCATACATACGATTTTTCTCCTGTATGAATTCTCTGATGCACTGTGAGTGTTGACTTCTGAGTGAAGGCTTTTCCACAGTCACTGCATTCATACGGTTTCTCTCCAGTGTGAATTCTCTGATGAATAATCAACTCTGACCTGTAGGTAAAGGCCTTCCCACACTCAGTACATATGGAAGATTTCTCTCTACTTTGAACTTTTTCATGTGTAATGAGGTTGGAATTATTGCTGAAGACCTTCCCATATTCGGTACATATATAGGGCTTCACTCTCATGTGAACGCGTTGATGGACCTGAAGTTGTGACTTGGAAATGAAGGATTTGCCACAGTTACTGCACTCATATGGTTTTTCACCAGTATGAATTCTTCGGTGTGCAATCAATTGTGTTTTCTGGATGAAGGCCTGTCCGCATACAATACAGATATAGGATCTCTCGCCTGTGTGGATTTTCTGATGCATCTTGAGTGTGGACTTTTGTGTGAATGCTTTGCCACAGTCAGTGCATTCATGGTGTCTCTCTCCAGTATGAATTTTCTCATGTATACTGAGATCTGAGTTATAAGGGAAGCCTTTCCCACATTCACTACATTCATGTAGTTTTTCTCCGGTATGAATTCTCTGATGCCTGAAAAGAGACGATACTTGAAAAAAGGATTTTCCACATTCATTGCACTTATAGGGCTTCTCTCTCATATGGGTTTTCTGATGTGTACTGAATTCTGGCTTCTGTACAAAAGCCCTCCCGCATTCAATACATACATAGAGTGTTTCTCCTGTAGGAACTTTCAGATGTACCTTGAACTGTGAGTTCCACGTGAAGCCCTTTCCAAATTCGGCGCATCCATAGGATTTTTCCCTAGGATAAATGTTTTGATCTTGAGAGAAGGCTGGTTTATAACCAATGATTTTTCTATGTTGATTGTGGTCCCATAATTTCTCTCCTGTTGGAGTACATTCACAGTAAGTATAGAAAGACATTTTACCATATTTAGTACTCTTCTTAACATTCTTAGAAGCATCATTTCTATAATGAATGTGTAAATCTAAATTATGCTTCAAGCCATTTCCAAATGAGTCACATTGATAGGTTTTTACGGGGATGTAATATGTTTGGGTTCACACGAATTGTTCTTCTGATAGCCTTATATTCATAATGCCTATTTGTAGTCAATATTTTCTTGATTAAAGCAACATCACTTAGATATTTCTTTTCTTTTTTTTTTTTTGAGACGGAGTCTCGCTGTGTCGCCCAGGCTGGAGTGCAGTGGCCCTATCTCCACTCACTACAAGCTCTGCCTCCTGGGTTCATGCCATTCTCCTGCCTCAGCCTCCCATGTAGCTGGGACTACAGGCGCCCGCCACCGCGCCCGGCTAATTTTTTGTATTTTTAGTAGAGACGGGATTTCACGGTGTTAGCCATGATGGTCTCAATCTCCTGACCTCATGATCCGCCCGTCTCGGCCTCCTAAAGTGCTGGGATTACAGGTGTGAGCCACCGTGCCCGGCCTAGATATTTATTTTCTTTTCTGATAATACTGTATCTGGTTATCAATATGTCACAGTTATTCTAGAATGAAATACAATCTCACATCATCTCTGTCATCATCTTCCCTTGCATTGTGGAAAGAAATCTTTTTTTTTCCAGAGATTCCCTGGAAAAAAGGTTTGGAATCCAAATGCCCCTTTTCAAGGGATAGTAAGTCACTTTTTGCTCATAGAGCAGGTAGCAGAGGCTAGAGGGGAAGGTAAAAATGGCTCATCCAGATTGAACACAGAGAAAAGGGTAAGCGTGGGTAATTGGATGAGGAGGGTGACACTACTTATGGTGAAACATTCTGGGGAACAATTCAGCAGTTAAAAGAAATAAACTAGACGAACAGATAACACCATGAATAGACATGGAAAAAGTAAGGCAAAAAACATGATATATAGCATAATAAGATTTATATAAACTAATGATCCATACCTCTAATTCACTTTAAATTTTACAACATGCATGAATTAAAAAATGCTTCCATTATACAAAACAGTGGCTTCTGGTGGGAAGGGAGATGGGTGAGGGGAAAGAGAGAATAGGAGATTTTATCACAAAAATAAGAGAGAATCTTTACCCACATTCATGGTCATAGTGTGTCCTAAACTAAAGACAATGATTAAACTCAGACCTCATCGGGTGAAATATAAACATAAAGCATGACAAAAACAAATAAGCCCGGGCACGGTGGATCACGCCTGTAATCCCAGCACTTTGGGAGGCTGAGGTGGGCAGATCACCTGAGGTTGGGAGTTCGAGACCAGCCCGACCAACACGGAGAAACCCTGTCTCTACTAAAAATACAACGTTAGCTGGGCATGGTGGCTCATACCTATAATCCCAGCTACTCGGGAGGCTGAGGCAGGAGAATCACTTGAACCCGGGAGGCAGAGGTTGCGGTGAGCTGAGATCACGCCATTGCACTCTAGTCTGGGCAACAAGACTGAAACTCCGTCTCAAAAATAAATACATAAAAATAAAAATACAAAAATTAGCCAGGCATGGTGGCAAGCACCTGTAATCCCAGCTACTTGGGAGGCTGAGGCAAGAGAATCATTTGAACCTGGGAGGTGGAGGTTGCAGTGAGCCAAGATTGCACCACTGCACTGCAGCCTGGGCGACAGAGTGAGACTCCGTCTCAAACAAACAAACAAACAAACGAACAAAAAAAGCCAACCAGGCAGAGAGACCCTAACAGTGTGGAATCGCTCAAACAACATCAGAAGGAAATGTGAGAAAGGGTGATTAATCATGTCATGTCAAACACAGCAGAGAGGTATTCCCAAAGATTAAGTGACAATGATTCCCAAGTCATCAGCTGGATGAAAGGCCTGAAAGACTGGGAAGATACGAGAAATCTCATGGCCATTCCTATAGCGAAAATAGTTAGAAAGCCTGATTGGAAATAAAGTTCTTTTTTTTTTTTTTTTCTTTTTTAGATTGAGTCTTGTTTTGTCACCCAGGCTGGAGTGCAGTGGCATGATCTTGGCTCACTACAACCTCCACTTCCCGGATTCAAGTGATTCTTGCGCCTCAGCCTCCCAAGTAACTGGGATGCAGGCATGCACCACCACACCCAGCTAATTTTTGTATTTTTAGTAGAGATGGGGTTTTGCCATGTTGTCCAGGCGGGTTTCAAACTACTGACCTCAAGAGATACATCCACCAAGGCCTCCCAAAGTGCTGGGATTTCAGGCATGAGCAACCACACCTGGCCCAGAGATAAAGTTCTGAGGCATCTTACGGTGAGAAAGACAGAAATAAAAGGGGTGTAGCAGGAGTGGGAGTGTGTGACACAGAGTAATTTTGAAAGAAAGCAGATCCGGGAATGCCTGGATGTAAACAAGAGACTCTAGGACAATATGGAAGGTAGGGAAAAAAAGAATGTTACAGAAAAGGAACATAATGAAGATATATCTTTAATGAGGCTGACTGGCACATGACTTATAATCAACAAGGAAGGTCATCCAGGTAGAAGGCATTTAGTGATCTGAGAGGCATCAAGCAATACAAAAAATTCAGAACCTTCCTGAAGAGTGGTCATAACAGCACTTCACAGGTTCCAGTGTTTTTCAAGACAGCTGAGATTTCCTCCCATCTCCCATCTAACCTGAGTCACACTCACCTCACGTCACTCACCTGGGCAGCTCTGACGTGGCCTTTCACCCTGCAGTGCCCATGGTTCCTTTCCTTGCTCCAACATGACCACCTCTGGTTTAGGAACTTGATACCCTGTTCATGGGAAATGATAAAGGTCTGGGTCCAGCTAATTATGCTTCAGAGCCCAGCCAATACAGTCTTATTGTTCAATGACAGTTTGTTCTTTTTTTTTTTTTTTTTAAGACGGAGTCTCACTCTGTGGCCCAGGCTGGAGTGCAGTGGCCAGATCTCAGCTCATTGCAAGCTCCGCCTCCCGGGTTCACACCATTCTCCTGCCTCAGCCTCCCGAGTAGCTGGGACTACAGGCGCCCGCCACCTCGCCCGGCTAGTTTTTTGTATTTTTTAGTAGAGACGGGGTTTCACCGTGTCAGCCAGGATGGTCTCGATCTCCTGACCTCGTGATCCGCCCGTCTCAGGCTCCCAAAGTGCTGGGATTACAGGCTTGAGCCACCGCGCCCGGCCGACAGTTTGTTCTTTAGGAAAGTAACCAGATATCTCTGAGAACAGAGTAATATTCTGAGTACCCTAAACAAACCGAGAACCTTGGAGGAAAAAAGGACAAAACCATCACCTATTCGAGATGCCAACAGCATTCATCAACTGAGAATGAAAACACTCTCAGTGAGGCCTCCTTTCAGACACAAAGGTGACTGTGCTTACCTACTGAGAGCAGGTGGCTGTAGGTCTCTAGCATCACATCCCGGTACAGGTTTCTCTGAGAAAGGTCCAGGTGCTGCCATTCCTCTCTGCTGAAATTGATAGCCACATCCCTGAAGGACACTGATGCCTGTAAGGGCACATTCCTGTTCAATGTGCATAGTCAGCTTTGCAGGGTGGAGTGACTATATTTTGGGATTATGGAATGTGGGTTTCATTATTTTTAATTTATTTCCTTTTTTTTTTTTGAGACATGGTCTTGCTCTGTCACCCAGGCTGGAGTGCAGTGGTGCAATCTTGGCTCACTGCAACCTCCGCCTCCCAGGTTCAAGCGATTCTCCTGCATCAGCCTCCCGAGTAGCTGGGATTACAGGCGCGCACCACCACGCCCAGCTAATTTTTGTTATTTTTAGTAGAGACTGGGTTTCACCATGTTGGCCAGACTGGTCTCAATCTTCTGACCTTGTGATCCTCCCACCTCGGCTTCCCAAAGTGCTGGGATTACAAGCATGAGCCACCGTGCCTGGCCAATTTACTTCCTTTTAAAAAACCTGCCTCTCATTTCCCAAATAGCTTATTATGAAAAATTTTAAACATTCAGAAAATTAGAAAGAATTGTACAGTAAAAACCTATACATCTACTACTTAGCTCTACATTTAACACCTTACTCTACTTGCTTCATCACGCATTGATCCATCTTACTTTTTTTTTTATGTATTTCAGGGTAAATTGTAGTCATCATTACACTTCTCTTAAGCACCACAAAATGCAAATCATTAACTGGGGTGTAACATTTGTTAATCTGATAAGGTAAAATTTAGTACAACACAATTAAATGCAACAATCTTTATTGTGCCATTTGACCTTCTGACAAATGTATACACCTGAGTAATACGAAATTTCTAAGAAATTATATTTTACATAGGTCATATATTAAGTATCCAGTTTTAGCCGGGTGCAGTGGCTCACACTTGTAATCCAAGCAAGAATGTCAGAGGGGGCCGGACACGGTGGCTCATGCCTGTAATCCCAGCACTTTAGGAGTTCAAGGTGGGTGGATCACCTGAGGTTTGGCATTTGAGACCAGCCTGGCCAACATGGTGAAACGCCATCTCTATTAAAAATACAAAAAATTAGCCAGGCTGGTGGCACATGCCTGTAGTCCCAGCTACTTGGGAGACTGAGGTGGGAGAATCCCTTGAACCCAGGAGGTGGAGTTTGCAGTGAGCTGAGATCATGCCACAGCACTCCAGCCTGGGTGATAGAGCAAGACTCTGTCTCAAAAAAAAAAATCTAGTTTTACATAATTTGTGGAACACAGAAATCTAACAAAGAATTCCAGCTATTTGTGGTGTTCTACAGTCAGTCAATTACTCATTTTTCAAAACTGGCCATTGAAATAGGCTGTCTTGGCCGGGCCCAGTGGCTCATGCCTGTAATCCCATCACTTTGGGAGGCCGAGGCGGGTGGATCACGAGGTCAGGTGTTCGAGATCAGCCTGGCTAACACGATATTTTGTATATGTATTATATTTTGTATTTTAATAATAAAAGTCAGCTAGAGAAAGGAAAATGCTTTAAAGAAAATCAAAAGGAAGAGAACATATATTTATTATTTATTAAGTGGAAGTGAATCATCATGAAAGTCTTTGCCCTTATGGTCTTCAGGTTAAGGAGGCAGAGGAAGAGGAGGAAGAGGAGAGTCTGGCCTTGCTGTTTTGGGTGGCAAAAGGGGAAGAGGTGAAGGTGGAAGGGAGGGCAGGAGAGGGAGGCACACTCAGTGTAATTTTACTGAAAAAAAAAAATCTGTGTTACAAATGGGCCCACACAGTTCAAACCCATGTGGTTCAAAGGTCAACTGTAATTCACATTCTCTCATGTGAATTGTGCAGTGGGTCTTGTCAATGATCTTCCAGTCATAACTACTCCAAAATATTCCAAATGCTTTGGAATAATCTTTCTTTAGGAGTATTTTTTTTAAACTTTTTATTTTGAAATAATTATAGATTCACAGGGAATTACAAAATGATACAGAGGGTCCCCCTGTGAATTTCAGTTTATTGTAGTACATGATTCTTTTTATTCATTGCTGGATTCAGTATGCTGATATTTTGCTGAGGATGTTTGCATCTAAAATTATGAAAGATACTGATCTATAGTGTTCTTTTTTTTGTGCTTTGGTTTTGATGTCACAGTAATACTGGCTGTACAAAGTTAGTTTGGAAGTGATCTTCCTCTTTTATTTTCTGGAAGAGTTTGTGTAAAAATGACACTAGTTCTTCTTCCTCTTCTTTTTTTTTTTTTTTTTTTGAAACAGAGTTTTGCTTTTGTTGCCCAGGCTGGAGTGCAACAGCGCAATCTTGGCTTACCGCAACCTCCGCCTCCCGGAGTAATAGTTACTTCTATGTCTAAGATTCAATCATGAGTGAATATTATATAAAATCATGCAAACAGGGCTGGGTGTGGTGGCTCATGCCTGTAATCCCAGCACTTTGGGAGGCTGAGGCAGGCGGATCACCTGAGATCATGAGTTCAAGACCAGTCCAATCAACATGGAGAAACCCTGTCTCTAGTAAAAACACAAAATTAGCCAGATGAGGTGGTGCATGCCTGTAGTCCTAGCTACTCGAGAAGCTGAGGCAGGAGAATCACTTGAACTCAGGAGGCGGAGGTTGCAGTGAGCCGAGATCGTACCATTGTACTCCAGCCTGGGCAACAAGAGCAAAACTCTGCTTTAAAAAAAAAAAAAAAAAAAAAAAAAAAAGGAAACAAACTAGAGTTTTTAAAAATGAAAACATTATGTTAAAATGTGGAGAGCGGTAATGAGAAGCTCAACAGAAGGGCTGGAAGGCGAAAGGTGTCAAAGTTACCCAGAATGGATAGCAGGAAATAAATAGCAGAAAATGGTAGAGAAAAGAAATGGAGAAGCAACATCTGAAAAACAAGTTTCAGAAAGAAAACAGAGAAAACATTTGTGTTTGAGGAGGTGGTTTAGGAAGAAATGAAAAAATGCTTTCGAAATATCAAACAAAAGTCATTTATAACGAGGAATTCTATTTGCAGCCAAAACATCAATATAGTGTGATGACAAAATAAACAACAGTTTTCCTTGACAGTCCACCTCTCCTCTGTTATACAGGCGGCCTCCAGAGATAGAGACATTACCCACGTGTTGTTCATTCTTGACAGGAAGACCAAGTTTTCTTTCAGGAGCACCAAGTCTAGAGTCCAGCTGGTTCCTAAGGCCTATCTGCCTCTGCCCTAAGGCTCCGGTGACAGATTAGAGCTATCTACTCTTGGACTGAAATTCCACCCCCTGGGACTCCTCCTCCTCACCTCATAGGAGCTGCCCGGATCCTCTGGAGCCAGGGCTGAGGATTTCTGGGGTGAGGTCCAACTAGCTGGCATGGCCACACTGGATCTCAACCCTTTTTCTCTAGGGTGCCTGAAGTTTAGTGGTCATCTGTGAACTCAGCAGAGCTGCTCTGAAGAGGTGGGCTGCAGTCTGGAGGAAGGTCTGGCTCAGGGACTCCCCAGAGACACCCAAGAACCTAGAAAAACAATGTCCACATAGTCATTCAACATTCACCACATAAACACTTCCTGGATACATCAAGGTGCAGGTCCCTGTGCTAGAAACCAGAGCAGTGGTTCCCAAACATACGTGTGCATTCAAGTCACCTGGAGGGCTTGTTAAAACATAGTTTAGGCCGGGCTTGGTGGCTCAAGCCTGTAATCCCAGCACTTTGGGAGGCCGAGAAGGGCGGATCACAAGGTCAGGAGATCAAGACCATCCTGGCTAACACGGTGAAACCCCGTCTCTACTAAAAAATACAAAAATCTAGCCGGGCGCGGTGGCGGGCGCCTGTAGTCCCAGCTACTCGGGAGGCTGAGCCAGGAGAATGGCGTAAACCTGGGAGGCGGAGCTTGCAGTGAGCTGAGATCCGGCCACTGCACTCCAGCCTTGGGGGACAGAGGGAGACTCCGCCTCAAAAAAAAAAAAAAACAAAAAACAAACAAACAAAAAAACATAGTTTAAAATTCTCAGCTTCACCCCTTCGATGGGTCTAAGGTAGGACGTAAGAATTTTATTTTCTAATAAGTGCCCAGGAAATGCTGATGCTGCTGGTACAAGAACCACACCTTCAGAACTGTGGAGAACAGTGCTGAAACATGGGAAAAGCCATGAAATTTAGAGTAACGTTACTGAGGATTTGAACTGCAGCTGTTCCACTTTTCACCAATGAGAATAGAAAGAAGTTACTCAGATTTTGTTTCAGAAATAAGGATGAAAATGCCTGTGTCACAGTTACTAAGATTAAATGAGATGATGTTTTTAAAGTACTCAATGCCTCCCTGCCATGCAAGAATCATGCAATAAATATCAGCAATTACCATGCACTATATTAAAACTTAATACAGAAAACCATGTAATCAAAACAAGTAAGATAATATATCAGACAATATTGATCTATATATGAAATGAAAATGATACATGACTGAGAGTGCACACGGCATTCATTGTATACATATCCCTAATTGGTGCACGCAATTGGCCATGCACCTGGAATAAAACAAACTAGATCTCCACCTCACACTATTTTTTTTTTTTTTTAAAGATGGAGTCTCGCTCTGTGGCCAGGCTGGAGTGCAGTGACACGACCTCAGCTCACTGCAACCTCTGCCTCTGGAGTTCAAGCAATTTCCTTCTTCAGCCTCCTGAGTAGCTGGGACTAGGTGCATGCCACTACGCCCAGCTAATTTTTTTGTATTTTTAGTAGAGACAGGGTTTCACCATGTTGGCCAGGATGATCTCGATCTCCTGACCTTGTGATCTGCCTGCCTCGGCCTCCCAAAGGGCTAGGATTACAGGCGTGAGCCACTGCGCCCAACCCACTTCATACTATTAAGTAGACAAATTCCAGCGGCACTAAACATTTAAATAAATGCATTTTTTTTTTTTTTTTTGAGACGGAGTCTCGCTCTGTCGCCCGGGCTGGAGTGCAGTGGCCAGATCTCAGCTCACTGCAAGCTCCGCCTCCCGGGTTCACGCCATTCTCCTGCCTCAGCCTCCCGTGTAGCTGGGACTACAGGCGCCCGCCACCTCAACCGGCTAGGTTTTTTTTCGTATTTTTTAGTAGAGACGGGGTTTCACCGTGTTAGCCAGGATGGTCTCATCTCCTGACCTCGTGATCCACCCCTCTAGGCCTCCCAAAGTGCTGGGATTACAGGCTTCAGCCACCGCGCCCGGCCAAATACATGCATTTTTTAAAACCCCTAAGGATGTTAAAATAATTTTCAGACTATACATTTGTATAGCATTGTGGTAGGATGACAGGGATCTTATTACACATGACAGGAAACCCAGAAGTTATAATAGAAAAAAAAAACATATTTCTGATTATATGTTTCCTAATTATGTTAAAATAAACCATTAAATTTGACATATATATAAAAATTTTTTTCAATATGTGACGATAGGTTGCTTGTAACGTTAACTCTAGCAATCACTAAGCAGAAAAGGCCAGAAAAAAAGAGACTGGAAAAGGTATGAAAATTCAGAGAAAAGGAAACAAATGGCAATTAACAAAAAGATACCAACTAAAAGAAAAACGCATCAGAACAATCAAGAGAGAAATTTTCCTTAGAATCATGAAAGCTTTAAAAAAGTTAACAGACCAGGTGTGATGGCGAGCGCTTATAATCCCAGCTACTCAAGGCTACTCAAGGCTAAGACAGGAGAATAGCTTGAACCCGGGAGGCAGAGTTTGCAGTGAGCGGAGATCAGGGCATTGCACTCCAGCCCGGGCAACAGAGCAAGACTCTGTCTCAAAAAAAAAAAAAAAAAAAGTAACAACATCCACTGTTGGAAAGCATTTAGGCAAATTTCTTTTATAAATTATTGGTTAAGGCTTGAATTGCTGTAATGTCTTTTGAGCTATTTAGTCATATCTATTATTTTTATTTTTATTTTTTTGAGATGGAGTTTCACTCTTGTCGCCCCAGCTGCAGTGCAATGGCATGCATGATCTTGGCTCACTGCAACCTCCACCTCCCAGGTTCAAATGATTCTCCTGCCTCAGCCTCCCGAGTAGTTGGGATTACAGGCGCCCACCACACACCGGGCTAATTTTTGTATTTTTGGTAGAGGCGGGGTTTTACCATGATGGCCAGGCTGGTCTCGAACTCCTGACCTCAGGTGATCTGCCCACCTCGCCACCCAAAGTGCTGGGATTACAGGCCTGAGCCACCAGGCCCGGCCAGTCATATCTGTTATTAGCAATACACTCAACTGGTGCCAATAATATAGTTTTAAATATATAAAGCAGAAACTGACAGAAAGAAGAAAGGACAGGTGGACAAATAACTTTTCCAGTGTGAGTAGTTTACTTTCCTCAACAAAATAATCTGTGAGGAGATACATAATACATATAACATGGGATTAACATCTATAACAATACAAATTAGAGAACATATTACACTGTTTTCATGTAATAGATGTGACGTTTATGAAAAATGAGGAAGAACTAGGCCATAAAGCAATTGTTCAACTGAAGCATCACCCACAGACACTAATTGAAACATAAAGCGCACTTCTAAATGGCGCATGGGTCAAAGAAAAACAATTACTGGAAAAAAATTTTAAACACTTAGATTTGAACAATAGGAAACTGCTACACATCAAAACTTGTTCACCTTTATATTACAGGCTGAAACTGAAAGAACTGAACTTTTAACTCGGGTCAGAAAGCAAGCTGATCACAGTCCTCACCGATCACCATAGCTGATCCTACAGGCTCTCAGTCACTGACCACAGACTCCCCTCACTGACTCCTAAACACCAATCACTGATCCCAAAGAGCCCCTGTCACAGACACCATCAACCCGAGAAATCCCTGTCACAGACACCATCAACGGACGTCACAGACCCCCATCACCGAGCCCCGAAACCACCATCACTAATTCCACAGACAACTCCTCTATTACTGACTTCACAGAATTCCTAATCGCAACCAACCAAAATCATCACAGAGACCTCTTGGCAATAAAACGTGAAAATACTCCTGACGCCAGCGGCGAACTAGCCTTCTGGGACCACTTCCACTTCCGGTCCGACTTCTAGCACTTCCCCTTGTGGACTGTTGATATTGCGCATGCTCTAAATTAACTTGGAAGCAATTTCCGCCCACAGTCAATAGGGCGCAGACACATCTTTAGAGACATCGTGCAGTTTCCGTAATCGAAGCTATCGGGCAGAGAATATAACCGCGCCCTTATGGTGTTTATTCGTGTGGGCCGCCATCTTGGATGCGTATCGATTCCGTACAGTGGAGGAGTCCGCCTCCTGCAGGGTTGACTAGAGTAAGGCAAGGATTTTCACGTAGAATGCAAGACTGTTACCATAGTTTGGCCACGCTTATACCCAAGAAGAAGACGTTCCTGAAGATAGGATCTGGAGCTTTATTTATTTATGTATTTATTTAATTTTTTTAATACGGAGTCTTGCCTAGGCTGGAGTGCACTGGCGCCATCTCGGCTCACTGCAACCTCTGCCTCCCAGGTTCAAGCGATTCTCCTGCCTCTGCCTCCCGAGTAGCTGGGATTACAGGCAAGCGCCACTACACCCAGCTAATTTTTTGTGTTTGTAGTAGAGACGTGGTTTCACCATGTTGGTCAGGCTGGTCTCGAACTCCTGCCCTCAAATGATCCGCCCACCTCGGCCTCCCAAAGTGCTGGGATTATAGGCGTGAGCCACCGCGTCCGGCTGTTATATTTATAATAGCTAAGTTAGCCCTTGGTTAGGGCACACTGCAGAAAACAATGATTCACTAGAAGAAACCATGGGGGAACAAGGAAGCCAGGGATCCTGAGAGAAATAAGGAAGATAAGAGGAGGCATTAGGATCGTACAATCTATTTTTTGGAGACACCACTCAGGAGAAGGGTGGATTGGGATCTGAGTTCACTCCTGGGTGAAACCACTAGGCAAGAGGGAGTTATGTCACAATAGATAGTATCCTGCAGGAAGGGAGGTACAATTTTTAATAGTTGAAAACACATTAGGAAATAGGTTAGAAGTTGGGTTAGTACAATCCTCTCCTAGGAGATACCATGGAAGAGGGGTTAGAAGTCTAAGCATCCCCTTTGAAATGGCTGGTAGGAGGCTTTGGGAGGTATAGATATTTTAATCCCCTTAATCTCCATCAGCATCCACCCTAGCTACCTCAAGCATGGCTATAGCAGGCAGCAACAATAAAAATAATAATAGTCTTGGCCGGACGCGTGGTTCACGCCTGTAATCCCAACGCTTTGGGAGGCTGAGGCAGGTGGATCATCTCAGTGGGGAGATCGAGACCATCCTAGCCAACATGGTGAAACACTGTCTCTAGTGAAAATACAAAAATTAGCTGGGTGTGGTGGCACATGCCTGTAGTCCCAGCTACTTTGGAGGCTGAGGCAGTAGAATCACTTGAACCCGGGAGGTGGAGGTTGCAGGGAGCTGAGATCGAGCCACAGCACGCCAGCCTGGTGACAGAGGGAGACTCCAAAAAGCTGGGATTATAGGCGTGAGCCACCGTGCCTGGCCAGGGAGTTTTTTTTGTTTTTGTTTTTTTTTAAATTGCAAAGAGATGTTGAATTTTGTCAAATGCTTTTTCTGTTTCTATTGAGATGACCATATGATTTTTGTCCTTCATTCTGTTAATGTGATGTATTGCATGTATTAATTTGCATATGTTAAACCATCTTTGCTTCCCTGGGATAAATCCCACTTGATCATCATGTATATAATCTTTTTGACGTGCTATCGGATTTGGTTTGCTAGTATTTTGTTGAGGATTTTTGCATCTGTGTTTATCAGAGATCTTGGTCTGTAGTTTTCTCTTTCTTCTGTCCTTGTCTGGTTTTAGTATAAGGGTGGTGCTGGCCTCACAGAATCAGTTTGGAAAAATTCCTTCCCCTTCAACTTTTTTGGATTAGTTTGAGATATTGGAATTTGTTCTCCCTGAAAAGTTTGGTGGAATCAAATCCAAGAAGGGGATGATGGGAACCTCTAATTTTCAGGCAAACTGGACAGTTGTTGGTAATCAGGTGACTTAGTAGTTGTCATTGGCATCTGAAGAGGTGGGCAGTCTTGTGGGACTGAGCAATTAACCTGTAAGGTCTGTGCTGACTCAGGTGAGTGTCAGACTTGAATTCAATTGTAGGACACCCAGGCAGGGAGGGTTGGAGAAGGCGTGTCAGAAAAACTCCACATATTTTGTGTTAGAAATGAAACATTCTGGAAGTATTGAGTGTTGTGAGAGTATATTTTTAAAAACCAGTTTGTTTTTCCTATGCAACTGTATAAAAAGACATATCAAGTCTCACTCCCCCCGCCACCCCAGTCACTATAGGTTACCACTATAGGTATTGTTTCCGGTTCATATTTCCAATACTTCTTTTTTCCTATCTTTTCTTTTTTTAGTGCATATAAACACATGCTTATATCTAATCTGATTTCCTTTTCTTTTTTTAGACAAACTATATGTTATACTGTTCTATACTTTCCATTTTTTTATATATTCTAGAATTAATGTCATTCTGTAGAGATGACTTTTTTTTTTTCTGCTATGTGTGTACCGGCTGCATAAAACTTTATGATGTGACTGTGGTGATTTGAGCTGCTGCCGTTATCAAATACTAAGCATCTATGTGGACCTTCCTCCCTCCCTGCCTCTCTCTCTCTCTCTCTCTCTCTCTTTTTCTTTGACGGAGTTTTGCTCCAGGCTGGAGTGCAGTGGTTCGATCTTAGCTCACTGCAACCTCTGCCTCCCAGGTTCAAGCGATTCTCCTGCCTCAGCCTCCTGAGTAGCTGGGATGACAGGCGCGTGCCACCACGCCCAACGAATTCTTTGTATTTTCAGTTGGCCAGGTTGGTCTTGAACTCCTGACCTCAGGTGATCCACCCATCTCGGCCTACCAAAGTGCTGGGATTACAGGCGTGAGCCACCGCGCCTGGCTGTGGATGTTTACTTCTATATTTCCCATCATCCTCCCTTGGTCTGTCCCTCTGACCACACACAAATAGTACACTGTTTTAAGTATAGAGGCTTTATCATGTACCTCATATAACCTCATGAGGTTATACGTACGTAACTTCAAGTCTACTTTCTGTCTCTATGAATACACCTATTCTAGGCACCTCATATAAGTGGATTCATACAATATTTGTCCTTTTGGTCTGGCTTATGTCACTTCGCATAGTGTTGAAAAAGAAAAGAAACTTTTTATCTGAGGAATGCAAGCCCTCTTTACATGATCAGGCCCAGAGAGGGGTTGGGATGACACAGCTGTTGTGGTGGCTCATGCCTGTAATCTCAGCACTTTGGGAGGCCACGGTGGGAGGATTACTTGAGGCCAGGGGTTTGAGTAGACTGGGCAACATAGCTAAACCCCCTCTCTATAATTTTTTTTTTCCAATTAGCCAGGTGTAGTGGTGCACACCGATAGTCCCAGCTACTCAGAAGGCCTAAGCGTAAGGATGCTTAAGTCTGGGAGTTTGACGCTGCAGTGAGCCATGATCATACCTCTGCATTCCAGCCTGGGTGACAGAGCAAGACCTTGTCTCTTAAAAAAAAAAAAAACAGGCTGGGTGCGGTGGCTCACATCTGTAATTCCAGCACTTTGCGAGGCCAAGGCAGGCAGATCACTTGAGGTCAGGAGTTCAAGACCAGCCTGGCCAACATGGTGAAACCCTGTCTCTACTTAAAAAAAAAAAAAAAAAAAATTAGCCAAGTGTGGTGGTGGTTGCCTGTAATCTCAGCTACTAGGGAGGCTGAGGCAGGAGAATCACTTGAACCCAGGAGGCAGGGGTTGCAGTGAGCCAAGATTGCACCACTGCACTCCGACTTGGGCAACAGAGGGAGACCCCGACTCAAATAAAGGAGGCTCTGGAGAATCTGCTTTTTTCATTTTTCCAAGTTGGAGAAGCTGCCTGCATTCTTCAGCTCATGGGCTCCTTTCATCTTTACACCCAATAATGGCTGGTCGTGTCTTTCTCACAGCGCACAATTCCTACACTGACTTTTATGCCTTCTTCCTCATTTCAGACCCCATGTGATTACACTGGGTCTAACTGGACAATCCAGTATAATCCCCCTATGTTAAGGTCAACTGAGTAGCAACTTTAATTCTACCTGTTAATTTAATTCCCCTTGCCATGTAACATAGTACATTCACAAGTCCCAGGAACTGACATGTGGGTATTTTGGGGGGAGCATTATCCTGCCTACTTTAGATGTTGAGGTCATTCAAGAGGAAAATGATAGTTTTGTTAACATGTGATGTTAGAACCACTAAATTTCCATCTGGAAAATAATAACTTTGAACATTACCTCACATACACAAAAACTAACTTCAAGTGGCTGATGGACCAAAAATAAAAACTAAAACTATACAACCTTTAGAATAAAACTTAGGAGAAATTCTTTACAACACTAGGGGAGACAAAGATTCTTAGAAAGACCAGAAAGCATGAAGCACATTTTAAAGGTGAGAAATTGGATTTCATCAAAAGTAAAAACTGCTTTTTGAAAGACATCATGAAGAAACTGAGGATTGGGCTCACACCTGTAATAACACAGCGAGACCCCCATCTCCACAAAACACAAGAAAATTAGTTGGGCGTGGTGGTGCACACCTGCGGTCCCAGCTACTCAGGAGGATCGACTAAGCCCAGGAGGTCAAGGCTGTGGTGAGCTGTGTTCACGCCACTGCACTCCAGACTAAGCAGCAGAGCAATACCCTGTCTCAAAAAAAAAAAAAAAAACAACCGAAAACTGAGAAGATAAGCCCCAGGCAGGGAGAGAATTTTTGCAATTTGCAATATGTATATTTGGCAAATGACTTTTACCCAAACATATAAAGAATTGTTACAACTCAATAATAAGACAACCAATTTTAAAATAAGAAAATATTTATTATTATTATTTTTTTTTAGATGGAGTTTTGCTCTTGTTGCCGTGGCTGAAGTGCAACAGTGTGATCTCGGCTCACAGCAACCTCTGCCTCCCAGGTTCAAGTGATTCTCCTGCAGGGATTACAGGCATGCACCGCCACGCCCGGCCAATTTTGTATTTTTAGTAGAGACGGTGTTTCTCCAGGTTGGTCAGGCTGGTCTCGAACTCCCGAGCTCAGGTGATCTGCCCGCCTCAGCCTCCCAAAGTGCTGGGATTACAGGCCTGAGCCACTGCGCCCGGCCGAATATTTTCAATAGATGTCACAAAAGAAGTTAAAAGAATGGCAAATAAGTATATGAAGGTATGCTAAGTTCACTGACATCAGGAAATGCAAATTAAAAACATAATTTGATACTACTGCTCATTCCTTAGAATAGTCAATAGATGCCTGATATAGGGATGGGGAGGTGGGAATTGATTTAACAATGTGGGAGGGCGGGGGGCGGTGAATAAAAATATTCTATATGCACTGGGCACGGTGGCTTACACTTGTAATCCCAGCACTTTGGGAGGCCGAGGCGGGCAGATCACAAGGTCAGCAGTTCGAGGTCGGGAGTTCTATACCAGCCTGGCCAACACAGTGAAACCGTCTCTACTAAAAATACAAAAATTGGCCGGGCGAGGTGGCTCACGCTTGTAATCCCAGCACTTTGGGAGGCCGAGGTGGGCGGATCACGAGGTCAGGAGATCCAGACCATCCTGGCTAACAAGGTGAAACCCCGCCTCTACTAAAAATACAAAAAATTAGCCGGGCAAGGTGGCAGGCGCCTGTAGTCCCAGCTACTCGGAGGCTGAGGCAGGAGAATGGCGTGAACCCGGGAGGCGGAGCTTGCAGTGAGCCGACATCGCGCCACTGCACTCCAGCCTGGGAGACAGAGCGAGACTCCGCCTCAAAAACAAAAAAACAAAAAAACAAAAATTAGCCGTGCATGGTGGTGGGCGCCTGTAACACCAGCTACTGGGAAGGCTGAGGCAGAAGAATCACTTGAACCTGGGAGGCGGAGCTTGCAGTGAGCTGAGATCGCACAACTGCACTCTAGCCTCGGTGACAAAGCTAGACTCCAACTCAAAAAATAAAAAAATTTTTTAAAAATTAAATATCCAGTAACACAAAGGATAAATGCTTGAGGGGATAGGCACCCCATTTTACATGATATGATTCGTACGCATTGCATGCCTGTATCAAAACAATAAAAAAATCTCATGTACCCCATAAATATATACACCTACTATGTACCCACAGAAATTTAACTAAAAACCTTAACATTTTTTTTAATTTTTAAAAATGTTCCATATTCTGATTATGATGGCGGTGACAAGGATTTAAACATTTGTTGAAACTTATCGAACGGTTCACTTAAAATGAGGGCATTTTATTGTATCTAAATTATGCTTCAGTAAAGTTGATTTTTAAAAGACATGCACACAAATATAATTTATAAATCATATCATTAGCTCGTTTATGGTGTAGCATTCAGTCATTCTTAGAGTATTCAGAGTTGTGCAAACTTCATTATCTAATTCAAGAAGCTTTACATTACCCCAAAAAGGAACACTTTAGCTATTACCACTCACAGTTCCCCTAATCCTGCTAGTCCTAAAAAACTCTAACTTACTCCTTTTCCGTAGATTTGCCTATTTTAAATATTTCATATAAATGCCATCATACAGTATGTGGCTTATCCACGAACGAAGGCAAAAATGACGATTTAATCAGTCTAGCATTCTCAGAGAGGGTTATAACGCCTAGTAGAGTGGGTCTTGGGTGCGCTCTGCATTGTGGGTCGGCTTGGGGCAGAAAGTCATTTAAGGGACCTCCTTCCACTTGCCGCAGCGCCTCACCCCTTCCGGCTCTAGACTACAGTTCCCAGAAATCCTTGCGGCTCTAATCAACTTCTGACCCGAAGCTGGCGACCTTTTCCTGTTTCTCAAGGAACTCCCTGGGGTTGGCCGGTATCATGGAGGAAGATTGTCTTCAGGGTGCAGGGCCAGCGTCCTATGGCAGTTTCACTCTGAGCCCGTGTCTGGATCACGGAGACGCAGAGTAGCCGTTCGGAGTGGGGAGCAGGGATGTCCCGGAACTGTGCAGCAGCAGGAACCCGAAGGACCGGGCGCCATCTTCTCCGCGCGGTCCTACTCCGGACTGTATTTCCCAGAGGTCCCCGCGAGTCCAAGGCAGCCGTTTCATTTGCCTGCTGGACCCTCGGCCTCAAGGGTAGGGGAAGTGCGCGGTGAGCGGCCTGGGTCTTGCGGGCTCGGCTGGGGCCCGCAGGTGCGTGCCTGGGAGTTTGAAGGGACTGACCAGGCTGGTTTGGAGTGTCGGGCATGTATGAGTTGGTCGGGCTGATGAAGGGGGTAGGGGGGAGGCGGGCGCGAGGCGTGGACTTACGTGTGTGAGTGTTACCTTATGTAACTGTGCCTTGCTGTGTGCGCGGGTGTGATTTTATATACTCGTTGTGGTTGTGTGATTGTAACAATGTAAGGCTGTGTGTGTAGGTATGACTGTGTCCCGTGTTGGGACTGTGATTGTGTGTGTCTGTGTAACTTTGCGTGACGTTGTGGAGGGTGTTTGTGTGGAGAGAATCTGATGATGAGGCTGTGACTGTGTGTTACTCTGAGGGGTGCGTGTGTAATTGTGTTTGTATGACTGTTAGCAGCGCGTAAGCGTACTGGATGCCTTACTGAGTGACAACGTGAGAATGTGAGAGTGTGACCATGTAACTTTATGTGGCACTCTGTCTGCGGTTGGAAAGTGCGTGTAATTGTGCCGGTGTGACGATATGTGCGTCCTAATGGTCATTGTGTTATTTTGAATGTGTGATTGTGTGTAGTGCTCAGTAGGGGTCCTGGGGAGGGGGGAACTGTAACTTTGTGTGGCTCAGTAGTGAGTGTGATATTTTGACTATCTGTAGCACTCTGGTTTTGAATGGTGCTATGTTTGGGGGGTCTCGCATACATGTGAGTATGACTGTGTATCTTCGAGGTAGATGTGGGACAATGATTGTGTGACCATATATAGTGTTACTGTTTGGGTGAGGTGTGCCTGTGGAGGTGTATGTGGGTCCCCATGGTGGCTAGGTGACTGCAGCATTGGGTATGGGGTGCTTGTGACTGTCTTTGTGACTCCAGCTCTCCCTGTGAGGTCAGGACAGATTCTCATGGAGAGGAGAGACATCACCCCTCTGATACCGAGAATGCTCAGGACATCCTACACTTCTCTGGTTTTGTTTTGTTTTAAGATGGAGTTTCGCTGTTGTTGCCCAGGCTGTAGTGCAATGGTGCAATCTCGGCTCACCGCAACCTCTGTCTCCCCGGTTCAAGCGATTCTCCTGCCTCATCCTCCTGAGTAGCTGGGATTACAGGCATGCGTCACCACGCCCTGCTAATTTTGTGTTTTTAGTAGAGACGGGGTTTCTCTGTGTTGGTCAGGCTGGTCTCGAACTCCCCACCTCAGGTGATCCGCCTGCCTCAACCTCCCAAGGTGCTGAGATTACAGGCTTGAGCCACTGTGCTGGGCCGCCTACACTTCTCTGACCTCCCCCATCCCTTCTTCTCTTCATAGATAGTAGCTGTAGATCCAGAATGACCTCTGATCTGCTCAGTCTGAGCCACAAGAAAGGCCTGGCGTCTCATGATTCCTTTCTTCTTCAGCTCTGCTGTTCTCAGAGAGTTACCCAGAGGAAGAATGACTGTTGACCAAACCAAATACAAGGTGCATTGGGTTTCCTTTTTGCTTCTCTTCTCTGGATAGTCGTGGTTAACATAGAGTCAGCAAGTGACCTGGTTCTTATAAGTTTCTATTCAAGAAAATGATGAGAAGCCTTGGGGTGGACGCAGAGAGCCCAGTAGTCTGTTACTTCTTTCTACAAAATGTTCACTTATTAATTTAGAAAATAGAACACTTTTCCCAGTGTGCTAAAGTTTTGTTTTTTTTTAACACACACACACTCCCCCCTCCTCTGTCTCACACACAGCCACACAATTCCAAAGAATCTGGAAAATAGGGAGTTACAAACAGCAAAAGTAAATCTACTATCCAGAAACAACCCAGTAATATTTTGGTCTATTTCCTTCTAGTGAGTTTCCTATGCACACATACATTATTTTCAAGATTGGAATTTTATGACATTTACCGTTTCATATCTTGTATTTTCACTAAAAATTATGTATGGTTCTTATATTTGGTTTTCTTTTCTTTCTTTTTCTTTTTTTTTTTGGTCTCGAGATGGAGTCTTGCTCTGTTGCCGAGGCTGGAGTGCAATGGCGCGATCTCAGCTCACCCAGGCTGGAGTGCAATAGCTAGATCTCAGCTCACTGCAACCCCCGCCTCCCAAGTTCAAGTGATTCTCCCGCCTCAGCCTCCTGAGTAGCTATGATTACAGGCACCTGCCATCATGCCTGGCTAATTTTTATATTTTTGTAGAAACGGGGTTTCACTATGTTGGCCAGGCTGTTCTTGAACTCCTGAACTCAGGTGAGACCTCCCAAAGTGCTGGGTTTACAGGTGTGAACCACTGCTCCTGGCCTATATTTGGTTTTCTTTGTTTAATCCCTTTATATTACATCATACAGAAAACTAGTTAAAATATAGACGTGTAGTTTAAGAAGTAATTATAAAGAGACCCTCTGCTCAAAAACTTGCTTCAGCACTCCAGAAGGGCCCTCCAGTCCTTCCACCAGAATAAACTTACCCTACCTCCCTCTTTAGGTAACATTTATCCTGACTTTGGTAATCGTTATTCTTGACTTTTTAAAAAAAGTTTTGTTTTGTTTTTATCACATATCTGCTTATCTCTAAACAATATAGTTTAGTTTTATCTTTTTAACACTATATAAATGAAATTGTACTGTATAATGTTGTTTTGAGTCTTGGCTTTCTTGTAAAATATTATATTTGGGCCAGGCGCAGTGGTTCACGCTTGTAATCCCAGCACTTTGAGAGGCCGAGGTGGGCAGATCACCTGAGGTTAGGAGTTCGGGACCAGCCTGACCAACACGCAGAAACCCCGTCTCCACTAAAAATACAAAAAAATTAGCCAGTCATGGTGGCACATGCCTGTAATCCCAGCTACTCGGGAGGGTGAGGCAGGAGAATTACTTGAACCTAGGAGGCGGAGGTTGCAGTGAGCCGAGATTGTACCATTGCGCTCCAGCTTGGGCAACAAGAGCAAAACTCCAACTTAAAAAATAAAAATAAAAAAATAAAATAAAATATTATGTTTGTTAGCCTCACTCTCGCTGTTATACATAGCTGCAGTTCAGACATTGGTTATTTCCTGTATGATAGGGCTGCTGTGAAAATGTTTTTACACGTATACCAGTATATATACATGCATACCTTCCTAGGATATAAGTGTATGAAGGAATTCCTGGGCCATATAGTACATTTTGCATCTTCAAATTTCCTAGATAATGCTGAACTGATCTACAGTATAGTTTTACAAATTAAATCCCTACCAACAGTTTATTAACATAATAGTAATCTTGTATTCTAACACATGGTTATTTGGTATTCTAATCTTTAATGAATCTGCTGATACCATGATATATCATGTTGTTTTAGAAGTATAACATACTGGCGGGGCGCGGTGGCTCAAGCCTGTAATCCCAGCACTTTGGGAGGCCGAGACGGGTGGATCACGAGGTCAGGAGATCGAGACCATCCTGGCGAACACGGTGAAACCCCGTCTCTACTAAAAAATACAAAAAAAACTAGCCCGGTGAGTCCCAGCTACTCGGGAGGCTGAGGCAGGAGAATGGCGTAAACCCAGGAGGCGGAGCTTGCAGTGAGCTGAGATCCGGCCACTGCACTCCAGCCCGGGCGACAGAGCGAGACTCCATCTCAAAAAAAAAATAAAAAAATAAAAGTAAGTAAAAAAAGAAGTATAACATACATTCTGGGCCAGGCATGATGATAATCCCAGCTCTTTGGGAGGCCCACTGGGTAGATCGCTTGAGCCCAGGAGTTTGAGAGAAGCCCAGACAAGATGGTGAAGTCCCATCTCTACAAAAAGTACAAAAATTAGCCAGGCATGGTTACATGCTGCTATGGTCCCAGGTACTCAGGGATAAGGTGGGAGGATTGCTTGAACCTAGGGAGGTTGAGGCTGCAGTGAGCTGCGATTGGACTACTGTCTTGCAGCCGGGGCAACAAAGCAAGACCCTGTCTCAAAAATATATATATATAAAACATACATTCTGAAAAGTACAAAATCAAAGTATATGACCTGATGACTTGCATAAAAGTGAGCATATTCCTTTAACCAGACCTCAAATCTGATAAGGAAATAGAACATTATTGGCATTACAGAAGCCCAAGTCTTGTCCAGTTCACTCACTACCCACTTCTCCCAAAGGTAACTATTATTTTGTCTTCCATGGCCATAGACTCATTTTACCTATACTTGAATTTTGCTTGACTTCTTTTTTTTTTCACTTTTTTTTTCCTACTCTCAATCTCACTTGGACATGATGCTTGGCTTCTTTTACTCAATATTGTGTTTTATATGTAATATGAATGCATTCTGCAATAATGTGTAGTATAAATATATACAATTCATCCATTAGTTATAGGTGATATAATGAATATAGTGAACACATTATTATTGCTGTTTAAAATTCTGTTGTATGAATATAACACTTTTTTTTTTTTTTTGAAGCAGAGTTTCACTCTTGTTGCCCAAGCTGGAGTACAATGGCACCATCTCAGCTCACCACAACCTCTGCCTCCCGAGTTCAAGCAATTCTCCTGCCTTAGCCTCTCGAGTAGTTGGGATTACAGGCGCACGCCACCACACCCAGCTAATATTTTTGTATTTTTAATACAAACAGGGTTTCACCATGTTAGCCAGGCTAGTCTCAAACTCCTGACCTCAGGTGATCCGCCTGCCTCGGCCTCCCAGAGTGCTGGGGTTACAGGCATGAGCCACTGTGCCTGCCCGAATATAACACATTTTACTTATCCATTCCATTATTGATTGGCATTTGATTTCATATTGAGGCTACTATGAAAAATGCTGCCGGGAACATTCTTGTACGTGTCTTTTGGTGCACATATGAATGCATTTCTCTTGGGTGTATTTCTAGGAGAGAAATTGCTGGGTCATAGGTTATGTATATATGTTCAACTTTAGTAGATACTGACAGTTTTCTTTTTTTTTTTTTTTTTTTTTGAGACAGAGTCTCGCTCTGTCGCCCAGGCTGGAGTGCAGTGGCGCAATCTCGGCTCACTGCAAGCTCCGCCTCCCGGGTTCACGCCATTCTCCTGCCTCAGCCTCCCGAGTAGCTGGGATTACTAGTGCCTGCTAACACACCCATCTAATTTTTTGTATTTTTAGTAGAGACGGGGTTTCACCGTTTCAGCCAGGATGGTCTCGATCTCCTGACCTTGTGATCCGCCCGCCTCGGCCTCCCAAAGTGCTGGGATTACAGGCGTGAGCCACCGCGCCCGGCTGATACTGACAGTTTTCTGAAATAGTGGTATCAATCTGTATTCCAAACTGCAGTGTAGACTTTATGACAAGAATGTATTTTACAACAAGAAGCTTTACTAGAGATAAAGAGGAATAGTTTATAATAAAAAGATCAATTCATCAGTAAGATGTAACAGTTCTGAATTTATATGCCTTCATAAAATGGCTTCAAATATATTTGACATAACTAAAAGAAGTAGTAGATAAATCACAATCTTAGTGGAGAGTTTTTAGCACTCTTCTCAATAGCTGATAGAACAAGTGACAAACCCAATAAAGCTATATGGTATTTGAACAGTGTGATTGACAAGCTTGACCTGATTGATATGTATAGAACAGTGTACCTTACAACTACATAATATACATGCTTTTCAAATGAATATGAAACATTTATCCAAATTGATCATATGCTGGACCACAAAGGGAGTCTCAATAAATTTCAAAGGAATGAAATAATACTGTAACTTTCCTGACCAGAGTAGGTTAAGCTAGAAGCCAATAACAAGAAGATAATTAGAAATATCCCAGCTAGGTGTGGTGACTTATGCCTGTAATCCCAGCACTTTGTGAGACCAAGGCAGGAGGATTGCTTGATCCCTGAAATTTGAGACCACCCTGGGCAATATAGCAAGACCCCATTTCTAAATTAAAAAAACACAAAGAGATATCCCAATGTTTGGGATTTAAGCAATGTATTTATAAATAACTGGTGACTAAAAGAATAAATAAATTGCAGTAGATATTTAAAATATTTTAAACAGTGATAATGAAAAATAACATCAAAATTATGTTTCTAAAGCTGAATATGAGGAAAATATATAGCTGCAAATGCATATGTTAGAAAAAAATGAATGTTGGCTGGGCGCCGTGGCTCACGCCTGTAATCCCAGCACTTTGGGAAGCCGAGGCGGGTGGATCACGAGGTCAGGAGTTCAAGACCAGCCTGGCCAATATGGTGAAACCCCATCCCTACTAAAAATGCAAAAAAAAATCAGCCAGGTATGGTGGCAGGTGCCTATAATCCCGTCTGCTTGAGAGGCTGAGGCAGAGAATTGCTTGAACCCGGGAGGCGGAGGTTGCAGTGAGCCAAGATCACGCCACTGCACTCCAGCCTGGGCGACACACACAAAAAAAGAAAAATAAATAAATGAATGTTGAAAAATTAATGATCTGTGTATTCATCTCAAGAAGCTAAGGAAAAGTTTGGTAAGTTAAATCCCCAAAATTAAAATCTAGGAAATAATAAGAATAAAAGCCCAAATATAAAATTTTTAGTATATTTTCTATTGCATATATTTTGGTATACATGTTTTGATGTACATAACGAACATATATTGAAATACGAAATGAATGTACAATGAAGAAAATTAACAAAGGCAAAAGCTTAGTTTTGGGAATTAATGAAATTAATAAATCTCTAACAAAACAAAATGTGAGGTAACATAAAAATTGCCCATATCTGATAATAGGAAAATTAAACCAACAACAGACTTAATTTAAAGACTAAGGGCTCAATTAATTAGCGTTTGGTACCTGGGACTTGGTTCCACAAAATAAGCTCATTGGAATCTGAGCCAGTAATCATTTTACCGGGTCCCTTTTTATACTTCATCGAACATGTAAATTTTTCTGGTTTTTTGTTTTTTTCTTTTTTTTAGAGATGAGTCTCTCACTCTCTTACCCAGGCTGGAGTGCAGTGGCGCAGTCACAGCTTACTGCAAACTTGGCCTCCCGGGCTCCAGTGATTCTCCCACCACAGCCTCCCAGGTAGCTGGGACTACAGACAACATGCCATCATGCCTGGCTTGCTTTTTTCTTTTAGTGATTTTGTTTGCATTTTAATTGTGGTATAAAACACGATATAAAGTTTACCATCTTAATCTTTTTTTTTTTGAGATGGAGCCTCACTCTGTCACCCAGGCTGGAGTGCAGTGGCATGATCGCAGCTCACTGCAACCTCTGCCTCCCGGGTTCAAGCTATTCTCTTGCCTCAGCCTCCTGAGTAGCTGGAATTACAGGTGCGTGCTTTTTACCACGCCTGGCTAATTTGTATTTTTAGTAGAGACGGGATTTTGCCATGTTGGTCAGGCTGGTCTTTTTTTTGTTTTTGAGGCAGAGTCTGCACTCTGTTGCCCAGGCTGGAGTGCAGTGGCGCGATCTCGGCTCACTGCAAGCTCCGCCTCCCGGGTTTGCGCCATTCTCCTGCCTCAG